CAGGATTTAGAGAGGGGAAATAAATTCTTATAGGTTAGGGAAGCAAGCTTCTTCCATTCCTAAATGCTTGTTTGCAACCCACGACTCATCTCCATGTTCACTTGCTCCCATATAGTCTTCTGCTGTACTGTCACCCCACATTCTATTGAATTTTATCTGGCTCCTCCAAGAAGCGTTCATGTCTATATCCTTCCAGCCCCTCTGTCTAGCCGACTGCTTACACATAGTGTCTCTCATTTCTTGGATAAATGAATGAGTAAAGGGTTGAAAAAAACCCCTTTTTCCCTTTCTCCAAACAGGTGGATTTGGACCCACACTTTCTTCTGGGCAGCTACTTTCACACTTCTCTTTTTTAAGCAACACAGTTTTTTCCCCCTAGATTGTTCTTGTTTCTCTGCCTGAACTCTCAGGAGAACCAAATTTAATTTCTCAAAAACAATTGAAGAGATTAGAAAATTGTATCTTTGGAGAAGTTTGTATGTTGAAAAATTCATTCGACAGTTCAAATGAATCTTATTTTTTAATGCATTTATCTTCCCTTTAATTAATTTATATCACTTGTCTTTTAAAAGTCAAGTTTTGACTTTAGTATAAATAAACAGAATAAATGGACTAGAAAGTGTTGGTCAACCTTGTCAGTCTTTAGAGATATAGAAATTAGTATAAGATTGAGTGATGTAAACTAGAGAAAGAGGACCACCTAGGATGATCTGTCTAGAAAAAGAAACTTTTTTATTCAGATCTGCAGGAAAAGGTATGCTTTCATGAGCCCATAAGTGGGATATTACATATGGCTTTGAACATCCCTAAACCTCTTTGGAAATGGTTGAAAATATGAATAGCTGTATTGTAGCTAAGGTGTGAAGGTGAACAAAATTATGAAAGTTTTAAGCTGTATTTTTGTTCGAGTTAATTATTTAAGAGAGGCTTTCTTTTTGATTAGGAGAGTTCCACTTTCCCTGCTTCTCTGAGATACATGGTTACTGTTATAGTTAAGGCTGGGCTAGTGTGGCCATCATTGAGGCCATTGAACATTCTAACAAAAAGTATTTTGCTAAATGTTTCACTTCCTTGTTTAAGTTTTTGTTTTGCTTTCCAGGAATAGCTCATTTCTAACAATGCATATCAAGCATTTTTAACTCCTATGATGTTAAGAAAATTTAGGTAACTTGATCAAGGTTATACCTTCTAATAAGCTAGTAGAGCAACTATTACAGCTAGATCTGTCCAGGCAATAAAATATGTGCTTTTGGATACAACATCAAGTACAGTATGTTTTTTTAGATGTTCCCTAAAGTTTTGACAGGAATGTAAATATTCAAGTATTTTACAGTTGTTATCTTTGATAGAATCCTGTGGAAATTAGAGATCCTCTAGTAGTTAGTGACCAAGGTTTCAGTTAGGGTAATATGCCACACTTGACAGTAGGGGAACCTAATAAAGAAATGAGGAAAGTCTTACTAAGATTTCCTGGTTCCTCTCAACTAAGAAGGTGTATATCCCTTTAGAGAGAAATCCCAGTAGTCTTTTTAGGAAGAAGGTAAGCTATTTGACTTGTCTTTCTAATCTATTCTTTCAGCCTCTTTCATTTTTGCATGAGTTTCTCAAAACTTTACCCAAATGAAAAGTAATCCTCTGTAGGGTGTTAGTTGTTGGTTTTAGGTTGTTACCACCACCGAGGGTATTTGCATTTTAACAGAAGGTTTTGAAAGAACTTCAAGCTTCAAGTCTGAAAACAATAAATCTCTATTGGTGGAATTTGAGGTAAGGCAATAGATTGAGCAGGAGATACCTGTGATGAAAGGAGCCCACTGGGTCTATTCTAATCACAGCATGAATTAAAGTGTTCCTACTTAGTAGCCTAACTTCTGCTTCTAGAGTAAAAGCTGTTAGGACAACTCCCGCGGCCTGAATAATGAAGTACTCCTGAACAGTTTCGTTTTCTTTCACAATAAAACAAGTTAAAGGTTCAAAAATTGAAGTATTTTAACTTCCTTTTTCCCTTTCCATTTTCTGCATGGCATCTTACTAGAGATCACCCCAAATCTCTGTTTTTTCCACTGTGGAATTGAGATGTATATTTAACATTATGTTTAGATTCAAATTTCCAGACTTTGTATCTTAAAATATCCTGGTAGCTGTTTGAACCACTAGAAATGATAAAATAGGATTCTTGAGGAATTTGGAGCAAATGACTTTACAAATAGTTTAAAATTTATTTAAATAAATATAGTGAGCCAGGAACCAAGTTTAAGGAGACACATGCATTTTTGTGTACTTTCTGCCATGTAATATTAGAGCAGAACAGATAAGCAGATTATTGCAATTGCTGCTGAATTATAGTAGAGTTGTTCACTGTATATTATCATAGAGCTTGGCTAGAGCACCAGAACTTGAAATGTTTAGTTAAGTAAAATGGAGATGAGGATAGTTTAGTGTAGACAGTGGGCAAGTAGACAGTATTTATAAATGATGTAATAGGAAACCAATGCAACTCAGAAAACTGTTAAGAAATTCAGAACAGCAAAATTTAAGTGATCAATTGAAGAATAAAAACATGAAACTGGAGAAGTAGGCTTAGACCCCTTTAGAGAGCCTGGCATATGCTAAAGAGTATGAATTTCAAAAAACAAAACAAAACTATTGATTAATCAAATGTAAAATAATGGTCAAATTTACTTTTTAGAAAAATCCTTTTGGAATCACTATGGTTGTCTTCATTCTGGACTCCAAGCTCTAGAGTGGGACAAATTTGGATAGAGATGTTGAGAGACTTTGGAAATTTTTAACAGTTCATTAAATAAGAAATGAGGGACTGATCTATATGGTAAGAGTGGAGACACAGAATGGAGAGTAGATTAAAAAATGTCTTCACAGAGATGATATTTGAGTGTGCAAGAGAAGGAAAAGACACTGCTGAATCCTGGATTTTTGGCTCAGTTAAGTAAGTACCATTTTGCTGAAACAGGGAAAGAAGAATGGGTTTCAATGGGGCAGATGCAGATTTCAGATTTGCACAAGCTGAGTCTTAGATTATTACAGAATGTCTAAGCAGGGATGTCTAGTAGAGAGGCATCAATCTGTCTGAATCCCAAGAGGAAGCACTGAACTATAGATGTGTATTTAACCACTAGTCTTAGCATCTTAGTGATGATAGTAAAAGAGATCACTCAGGAAGAATAGAGATTACCTGAAGGCTGTTGATTGATTCCGGATAAATAAGAATTAAAAAGCCAACTGAAGACAAAGAATAAGTAGCTAGACAGATACTTCAGTATAAGCAGGAAAGTACATCCATTGGTTAACAAAACAGACAAGAATTTGCAAACAATGTTCTTGTCCTCTCTAAGACCTGCAGAATCTGACCCCACACAATAAATCTGCCAGTCTCAATCTTTTTCCTTGCTATTTGACTTATTTCGGTTTATTTGAAACAATCTATATACACTCATACATTTTCATCTTTCATTCCGTTTTTGTATCCTCACTGAAGTGTATTTTTTTCCCATTCTTTCCCACATCCATTTCATTCTCTGAATTTTCTTCTAGTGCTTCCACTGCCATCTTTCTTCTCTGAATATGGAAGTCTCATCATCTTCCCTAAGCTCCAGTTAGTACACAGATTACAGTTTTCTTATGAAGTTTTGCATGCTACAATTTGCATCATAGTTATTTATGCATCAGATCCTTTCCCTTTGGCAAGAATGTTAGCTCCTGAAGACTTAAGAACTCACTCACCCAAATTAGTATCCACAGAGTACTGCTTTGAAAACAGCAGGTGTTTAGTAGTTATTTGTTCAGTGACCATATATATTTCTTACATAAAGTAAGAGATAGGGTCTTGGAATCTTCTGATGAGGCAAGGGATCTCAGCTGAAGCAAACATGGAAATCCTTCATCCTTATGGAGGATGTGTCTGACAGTTTTGATATATCTGTGTACACACTGACTAAATAAATGATGAGAGGACATTTCATAAAGGTACATTTATGACATAGAGGCTCAAAGTGGAAATGTAGTAGTAAGGATGTTTCAAAAATTATTGATATATTCTTGATGTTATTTTTATTCAAAAATAGTGAATCTTGTCTCCTCTTCACCTACTTTTATAATTTTAAAAGAATCTTGTGTAAAAGCCACCTACAAGACAAGTACTATAAAACGCTATTATTTATTACAACACTATTATTTATCCCAAAAGTAGATGTAACATGTTATGTTGGCAGTTTCTAAAATGTCCTAGAAATAGTCCCAAGCCTTTCCAATATATTTTATATATTAAAAGTGAGGCAACTTAGTGAAGTTATTTGCTTAAATAAAGTAAGGGTTAAATGATAACTTGACTTATCTTTTAGATGACAAAAAATAAACAAATTGGAAGACCTTTTCACACATTAGATATGTATTGTCATTTATCATCTAGATATCAGGCTAGCAGTGTGAAGTAATAAAACATATCATCGAAAAATGTGCTATAGGTCTGAATCACTCTTTCATTCCACCTCCCAGCTAACTGTAGTATTAAATCAAACAAGCAGAACATTTCCTTAGGCAGCCATTGCCTTTTAATTTCCTGAAGAACCTTAAAATATCATTCATTACAAGTACTACACATATTTGGTTTTTAAAAGTCTCATAAATCAATAGCAGGCTGACTGTAATAATTATTACAAGTTAGTGCATAATTTTCGTGCTGAAGGCTGCATGCAGAACTTTAGCATATGCAAACGAGGCAATTCAAACTGTGTATAGATATTAATATGAAGAAGCAGGTAACGAGGTGCAGGCTATGAATTATGCATCAGGAGTGGCTGATCTTCAATGAGGAAAATGAATTCAGCATGTAATCTAATTAGTGATGGAAGTCTATTACATCTAACTGCAAAAGCAACCGTCCTTGAAACAAATTTATTTACAGTCCATGTTACCACTTGAAACAACTTTGAAATGATATGTAAGACAACAGCTTAATTGTAAAATTTTTTGTTTGTTTGTTTCAGTTCTAGACCTGGAAGACCTCCTAAGAGGACTCAAAGTGTCACCTCCCCAGAGAACTCTCATATCATGCCACATTCTGTCCCTGGCCTCATGTCTCCTGGAATAATTCCGCCAACAGGTAAGAGTGTTATTTATTTACACCAAAAATATTAAACATCAGCCAACGTCCTAGATTTTATACATAACTATTGTTACATTCATGTTTTTACACATCAATTTTATTTTGTGCACATTAAGACAGTGTTACTGGTGATAGTTTATTTCAGACTATATTGTGATTATCATTACTTTTTTATTTAAAATAAAATGAAAGATGCTTAATTGAACACGATACTAGAAGCCATTTTAATTAATCCTCCCACAATATCAAAAAGTAAATTATTCCTTTTCTTTTTAAGGAGTAGATCCTCAGTGAGAATCAGTGGCATGACTTTCTCAAGATTGCTCAGCAGACAGCTCCCAGTGTTGGTTATTCAGACTCAGCTCTCTGAATTCTAAACTTAATTCTCATCCTGTAAGAACTAAGAAATGGGAGGCATACATTCAAACAGAAGACAACTATGTGAAATAGAAAATCTATTTTTCTCAAACAAATTTCTATTACCACTACTTCAAGGAAGTCATATAATTACATAACCTCCACACTATAAACAAATTTATGTGAACAGCAGAAAAAAATAGCTCATTTGATTTCTGCCACCTGCATGTGTTCATTAATTCTTTTGTTTACTTACACATATTTGCCCACTTCCACTTTCCATTAGGAAATGAGACAGTTCTATGAGCAAATTCAAATAATGATATTACCATGTAACATTTATATTAATTCTTACTCTCATGGAAGCTTATTGACAAGATAAAAATATAAACTATAAAAGACATATAATACATTACAACTGATAGAAGAGAAAGTTGGCAAGAAGAAAAGAAAAAATACTTTTTGTCTCTGACTTCCCATATCAGTATTTTCATTTGCTTTGGAACCTTGTCCTTTTCTGTGTTCTATTACAATCATGGATCATCTGATTTCATATTCCAAATGTAGGCAAAAGTTCCTTCAATTACTGACTCTTTCTAACACATCTTTATTTTTGTGGCAATATCAGAAGATTTCATTCACCTTTGTGAATATTTATCAAATATTAATTGATCTGAATTTTAAAATCTTAACTTTATATATTTAATACTTCTTTCATCAATTCACCACAGAGTCTTAGTAGCAAATAATTGAAATTCCCCCAGTATGAACTTTTATGCTAATTTTGTGGATCAAAATTTGGGATATAGAATAATGAAATTAATAACTAAAAATGACCCAATTTCAAAGTGGGTATCATTTTCAATTGTTGAGCTATACATGAGTCTCAAGTTGTTAAATCCTGTTGTCTGAAATTCTAATTCAAAATTATAGATTTGTGAAACAAATTGATATAATTTAGTTAAGCTTTGACTGTATATATTTAATTAAATGATAAAATTTCCACTTTTGAAATTTTAGTTTTCGGATACTACATAAGAAAATCTTCTGTATTACACATTAAAATCTTATTTTTCATATATTTTATCATTGAAAAATTTAAATGTGAAAGGAGAAAGACCTAAATCTTTGACTAATTAAATTCAAGTGACCTATGTTTTGAATTTTTAAGTGACCATGTCAGTAATCATTTTGTATATTTGGTCAGTTTGTTTTGACTATCAAATGTTACTTAATCATAGTTGTTTCAAAGGAAAAATATATTCTAGATTGTGTTCAAATTATAATAGGGAAGATCTGGTTCCAAATTGTCTTCCAATATTTGGTTTTTCAAGGTTAAGACTATAAATAATTTATTACCAAAGCAATAAGATGGTGCCATCAAAATCTAAATATAGCAACTCCTCATATAATTAATACCAATTAAATCTGAAGTGAAGTTTTGTTTTGGTTTGGTTTTGGCGGTACCAGGGGGCCACTGAGTTACATCCTGGGCCCAAGTTTCTTTCTTTTTTTTTTTTTTTTTTTCCTTGAGACAGGGTCTCACCATGTAGTTCAGACTACCTTGAACTCACTATGTAGCCTAGGCTGGCCTTGAACTTGCAGGGATCTTCCTGCCTCTGCCTCCCAAGTGCTAGGATTACAGGTGTGTGCCATCATGCCCAGCTAAAATAAAGTTTCTAAATAAAATTAGTTCATATATTGAAATCCGAAATCAAAACCTGAAGTTACTTTAAAAAATATGGATAAATAAATACGGGAGATAGTTTCAACTTGACTTGTCATTGGTCAATTATTTTAAAGCAAAATCCTTTATATATTTCAATTGCCATGTCATCTTTTCAGCTCTTTCATGTCTTTGTTCTTTCTTATGTATGAACCCAGAAGCCAGGACTTCTGTCAAGCTTGCCAAGCATTGTACTGAGAAAGACTTTATGAAATTATATTATAGACAAAAATGAGGAAATGGGCTCATGAGGAGAAGGACTGGATTGTACAGGGGCTCTTGAACAAGTCAGTGAATGGTTTAGCTGGGCCTGTTTGCTCACTGCTGCTTCATGCAGTTCACTGACTTCCATCTTCTAGACAATGGTCCAAGCGTATGAGGTTACCAGACTATATTTGTTGCACTTGAATGACGTTATTTTAATGTATTAAATGTAATACCCCTTTTTGCATAAACATTTTCTACATAAAAGAAGTTTAGATTTTAGGAAACACATAATAATGCCCCTCAATGTCGGGGGACATATTACTACCTTATTAATTTGAAATCTCATAGTCCTAAAGAAATCTTACAGATCTCAAGAACTGTAATACCTTTCTCCTGGAAAGTACTTTCTCTATTAGAGGAATTGAATTCAGTATAAATATATAAACTTCATATCTTAGAATTTAATTTTGTATTTTCTACTTTCCTTAAAAAACATGCCATTTTTGTCTTCCCAAGATGAAGAAAGTAAAATGTGTTTTTAAAAAATCTTATAAAAATGTACATTTATATTTTTGACAATAAGCAAACTATTTTGTTAATATTTCTGTTTCCAACCTGTGAGTTTGAATTAAAAAAATGTTTCTAAGAGACTGTAGTTATAAGAATACCATTAAAAGACATGAATTTGTGTTTTTAAATTAACAAAAATAGAGAAACCTATAAATTTCAAAATAGAAAAAGATGCAAATAAAAGTCCCACTTAATTTCAAATCCTAAAATTTAAATTTCAGCTTGCTTACGAATATGTAACTATACATTTGTATTCCTAATAGTCATAACATTAAAAAAGAATAAAATGTTGCAAATTTGCCTTCAAAGTTGCCTAACTGTCCCATAAAGGGAAAGCTGATTAATTTTGATGAATTCATAAATATCCATTGATTTGTTACTGGCCATTCTCTTATTTTTAATTTTCTATAATTGAAGATTGGAATTATCTTGCTTGGAAGCATTTGTTTTCTCAGAAACGATTGTCTTTATTTTATAAAAGCCATTTTTCAGTTTTGATATTATATATTTAGGTACTTATAATTTAAAAACACAAAACAAAACAAAAAAGACCAGTGAGATTTCTTCTGGAGTTTTTATTTACTATTTTGGTTGCTTCAGTACGCCTGTATGTAACTTTAGAAGGGGGCATGGGCAGATGGTGGTAATTTCCAGAAGTTATGGTTGTCACCAGATGCCATAGCAACCAGAAGTTGAAGTTCATGAAAGAAAGAAGCCTCTTTGTGGAGTCTCATAAGGCAATACCTCCTGCAGTGGTCACTACATTTATTTTGACTGAGTACTTGTCATAAATCATTTTTGATAATAAATACCAGTTTGGGAAAAAATCATCTTAGCAACAGCATTCCAAAAACATTCATACATTTTATAGAATGATGTTTATTGTACAGTTAAGGAAAGGGTATTTATGAATTCAAGATACTCCCTTCTTGTGCTGAAAGTGCAATTGAGATATGATATTTGGTCAATTTCTTTATTCTTATCTTTAGGTCAGAATGCAAACTCATCTTGAAATACAATTTTTATATCAATATTAAGAAGTTACTTACTGAATCCTAAAATACTTGCATTTGACGTCAAAAGAAAAGTTATCCTGTACTTATTTTCTTTCAAATACACTCAGAATAAGCGAATGATTTATAGTTTTACTTTGTGGACATGTCTTTTCTCTCTCTCCTTGACTTTGTTGACACATAACTGAAGTGCATTTATTTATTTTTGTTTTTATTTTTTTGAAGTGCATTTAAAGAAAGAAATTGCAAATGCACACATGCACAAACACACACACATGAACAATGTCTAAAAAGAATTTAGATATGCAAATCTATCATTTTGGAAAAAAAGGACCAGGACAATATTAATCCAGAGTTAATCCTGTTGAAACATTCCTATTTAAAAAGTTTAAAGGAAAACATTCTCATATATATCAATGATAAACAAGTATATTTTCAAAGCTTATGTTCTTTATTTTTCCAGCTAAATATTAATAACCACCAACAACATCCAAAATACCCCCTTTGTAATATCAACATCTGTAATATTTTAAGTTCTTTAAACATTACACTTTCTCAGGAGAAACTTCATAGCATAGAACTGTGCCTTATATGTTGAGAAATTTATTATAATAAATGTATGATATTCCATGGGGAAACTTATAAGTTAGGATGATAGAAAGATTTACAAACTAGTCACAAATATAATGATCATCTTCACCGATCTTAATAATCTACTGAATACCTTACTCAAAGAGTAAATATGATGTAAACTATTTAAACCATTCATGTTTATACAGTAATGGGAGTTTTTCACATAGTTTATATAGAGTGAGGTTCTAACACTGGACACTTTTAGAGTAGCACATTGTATCTATTACTAACATAACTTATATTTCCTTTTATTTTTTTCCTGAAGAGGAAAATACAATAATATAGCTTCTTTTTTCCCCCTTTATGAAAGGCCAACCTAAACACTAGACTTCATCATGTTTCTTAATAAGTTTTGAAATTTGCACTGAACACTTGTATTTTTTTGTGGCTGCTGTAACAAGCCACAAGCTGGGTGGCAGAAGAATAGGAACCTTTTCTATAACAATTTTGGAGATCAGAAATTGGAAATCAGTATCACCATGTTGAAATTA